ACCACTTTTCGCGGTCATTCCTCAGACTCTTAATGAGTTGGCGTTTAAGGGATTTGCGCGCTTTGTCGTATCTTGAATTCGATGGAATGGCTTTGTGAGCGTCCATCAGAGCAACCGAGGTTGAGGAGATCCATCGTTTTTGCTTTGATCGTGCGCCAGAGTTCACCGTTGTTTTGATTGAAATTTGATTTGCCGACCAGTGTTCACTGAGTCCTCCGGCTGATGGTTGAGTTGAGAGGTGATCTGATAGTTCCGCTTCGAAGGCCGATTTGCAACTGTCGGTGATAGTGTATTGTGGGCATCCGTTTCCGGCGGCTTTTCTGCGGTTGTTTATCAGGCGTAGGGAGAATCTCGCTCGTAGCAGAGCATGGTCCGTGTCTACGGGCAGTTCATCATCACTTTCGCAAAACAACTTGGAACAAGAAACCATCCGTGTCGATTGATGTTTCGTTGTCACTTTCCTTTTTTCAAGGAGAGTAGTAAAACTGACTGTGGTATGCAATCATAATTCTAATCCAGGTAGCGTAGTAAATATCTCTTGCCACTATCCTCCTCGGGCTACCAACTACACTTGGAATGTTCATCAAAGAAACGGTCCTATGATGAGATTGGAGTACCTCTGCTCGTGGTCTAAGTTCTATTATGATTCGAAAGGCTTACGCACTGTTGCTTCTCTCGTCTTAGGGTTTTCGATACAGATTAGCCTATTTTATGGATAAGGAGAGCCATGCACAGAATCGTGTAGGAGAAATATCGCATGGTATCATCGTTGTACGCAATTTCATGAATATTGGAATATAGAACGTGTAAATAATTTATTAAGTGTCTTTTTGAAAGCTATGCATGCACCAGGGAATTCGAATACTGCACTCCGGGGACAAAGGAATGACGCCGGCACTCTGGTTGACTATTTTATAGCACCAAATTAGATGTATGTCTCATGAGTGATAGTGGATAGTCGGGGTTTGCAGTAAGTGATACACGAAAATCAATTCTTCTCGAACTCTGCCGTGCATTGTGGAGCATAAACACAATGATTGCAGTCTTTAGAAATAGGTCTTAGAATGCAGTCCCTTGATCACAGTGGTGAAACGTTGCAAGGCCTTCTGGTCGGGTTGCAGTCATGGATTCGAGGATTTTATGATATACTTAATGTCGATTGGAATATAGGTTGATAAAAAGCAAGAAGTGTTGCCTAAAATTCACCAAAGACGCTTGGGTAGACCAGAAAACCTTGGAGCTACGGACGACACCCTGGGGCAGTTAAACGAACAGTTTAGGTCGTCTTCAACAGTAATATCTAGATTCTTTCCATACGAAGCGTGTGACAGTTGTTGTTGAAAGGATTATGAAGACTGATTTTTGCGGCCTAGTGGAATGACTGCAAAGTCTGGTACGCTGAATTTAATGTCATTCTCGATCGACAAGTGGTCAGTTGCACTCAGTGTTCCCTGAAGTGCAAGTGAGTCCTCAGGTTTTGGAACGGAATTCCAGATTTTTCTACTGCTCGCGAACGTTATTGCTTAAAATCCCCGAACATTCGGTAGGTCCTTTATTTAAAAAAAATGAACAGATAAAAAGAGAAGAATCAAGCACGGATCCCTGTGGAGTCCGGTGGTCTGCGTTGGAAGGATCAGATAGTGGAACAAAAACCCGGGCTGCCTTGGTACGTTGCCGAAGAGCACCCTCAATCTAACCATGTAGGGTGTCCCGGGATGTATGATTGTAGAGTTTTCCCGGCATCGTTTCGTGGTTCAAATAATCGAGTGCTTAAGAAAACTCTAGGTACACAAGGTAAACCGTGGTTCACCCACCATCGCAAATAGTCAACATGAAACCATGAATTCGAGGCATTTATCGTGAACTTTTTCTCCCACTGATCTGTTCTTGATTCTATTGTATCACTGCTGAAATTGGCGCGACCTTGAGTGCCACGATATAATTTGTAGTAGTTCAAAAGTTACCGGGCACAATTAGAAAACATTTGGTTCGGAGCACTATTGTTTCGTGGAGATTTTTATTCCATCAATCTTGGTTAGGCTTTGAGATAAAAAGATTTGGAGAAACCACGGGGTCACATAAATTCTATCAATACCTGTGTGTGTCGTTATTCTAAATCCAGATCTGTTGTCGAAACTTTCTTTGCCGCACGCTCGTTCCTACTCAGCTCTTTTGATAATTTCAGGTGCGCTTAGAACACTAAGTTTTGTTTGATGGGGGGCTTTTTATATTCACTAGTTTTACATTGAATGAGCCTGTGACACCGCTCACTTGTCGGACACATGAAATTCACATTTTGAATCTGTATGATTTCGCTCTTTGGTCCGATCTTCTGGTCAACAGGACTGGAGTATTTTTATTTTTGAATTGAAAGACAACAAGACAAAAGCATGAAAAATGTTATTCGGCAAAAAGCGAGCATCAGTAGGTGTTGCGAGATGAAAATAAACGATTGTGTACCACGTCATACTCTTTCCGACGATTTCCTGTGACATTTTTTAATACATTCCTCGAGCGTGTCGAAACGGTTTTGGTTACCACCACATCCTCCATAGATGAATCGTTGGCATCGTTCTGTTCGCCAGTTGTACGCGTAACGGATAAAAATGTGAAAACATTGCCCGCTATCGATGTCCAATCGACACAGAGCTGAAAGGTGATCAAAATAGGTTGTTCTGTGAGAGAGAGAGAGGGTGTGTGTCATGGCAACAGTTGGATATACTGGTGCATGTTTATTAAACTGGGAGCGACTAGATAACCACAACAAAGCGCTGATGATCGGCGAAAGTGAAAAATGGTGCTATCCAACGAGACACTGAACTAAAATGTCGAATTACACTAAATTTGCCTAAGCTCGTTTGCACATTTATACTTTGACGAGTCTCTGTGAATTGTACTTTGCCCCGTACAGTCGGAACTTCCTGTATTCATGCTATGAGTGAACATACATAGTTTGGGGGTAGATAGTGAAGNTCTGAGGTGTGCATCCTAACGCTTGCAACTCCGATCATTATCAGCCTACCGTTTTGTTCTTGGCGAGACCAATCTCCCGACAGATAGTTGGAGCTAAATACATATGGCCAGACCAAAACTGGCATATTCTCGGGTGAAAAAATTAGTACACTGTACTGTAGACCTTGGCATATATATATATATATATTCTCATTCTTTTGTTTTGGCCAGTTTATGTTGAATAGAGAATGGAGTAGACCTAAACGAATTGCTGCCTGTCGCGAAAGCTACATACGACTTACTCTTTGTTATTGTGCATAGTTTACATGTTGAGCATCGATAGTAGTCTCGACTTTTCGAATAACTAAACACACCTAATTGTTCAGTTCTCCTCATCCGGCATCGACTGAAA